CGAGGTGCACCCACGATCGCTCGTGCGGCTGCATTCTGGACAAGCTGAAGTCGCCGAATGCTCTTCAAGGGCTGCCCCATTTAGATATACATAATCATACTTTTTCAACTTCTAACCTTTGTCTATACATAGTAATCATAATTGTGTTCTATTTATGTTTCGGTACACATAATATTATTTTCCCCATTTCTACTTTCTACTTCACTTTTCTAACACTTATTGGGATAACCACCATGTTAAAAGAGTATTCTATGTCTATCCATCATCTCTTGCCCTTTTTAGAATTTCAATTCTTATTAATTTTTTGGTGAATCTGTCCTGCTTCGCCTCTGGTATCTTGTAACTCCTTTTGTCATTTTTTGCTGTTGGGCCTATAAAGTACCCATCCTCAATTCCCTCATCATTTAAAAAGAACCTTTATTCTCTTTTCTATTTTGAATTAACGCAATGAATGTACGTCTTCTCCACACACACCTCTTCCAAAAAATAAACCTTCCGTAAAAATAAAACCTTGGGATTCTCCAGAATTACACTCCTGTTTATTGGTTCAAAAATTCTTTACTTTTGAGTGCCAACATTTTTTTTTTAAAGGCAACATTTTATGAAGCAATTCCTCTAATTGGAATTTGGCAAGGGCAGAGAAGGAAATTTGAGGATATTTCAACCAACAGTAAATAAAAGGTTTAAGTCGTTTATCTCTTTTCAGAAAGACAAATGAAGCAAAAATAATAATTCCAAAAGAAAACAAACTTAAAAGGGAAAAAGAGATATCTAAGGATTTCATACTACCATATACAGTATACCACTCATGAATATTAGCTGAGTAATTTGGTTTTGCTTATCTCCAGATGGGCTTATCTGCAGGAACATGCAGTAATACTTTTTTAAAAACATCCATATATCTCCTACACATTTACTCAATGATATGCCATCCACTGATAAGATTCCCCCTCAAACTGTTAACCAAAATACCATGAAAAATGAGAAATGACTACATATGTTTGTTCTCATAGAAATCGCTAGCACATATAGGTAGTCCTGAACCTTTGACTACAATTGGGCAGAAAATGTATGTTGTTAAGAAGGACAATTGTTAAGAGGAGGAGGAGGAGGAGGAAGGAAAGAATAGAGAGAAACAAAGA